ACACACAAGAAAGAGGAAGAAATTAAAAAGGTTCATAATCGAGGCATGTAAATCAAATAAATCCCAATCGACATACAAGTGATCATTGATATCAACATCAACGATCCCAGGTTCCTTAGAACCAAAATCAATCAACCTCAAACCATTCAACTCTTCCTAAACTAGACCTAAACTAAGCATTCAAATAAAAAGAAAAAGAAAGAGAGGAAAGGTCTCACCGAATGCCGCTTGAAATACAAGACAAGGTAATGTATCCAATCTCACCAAGGGAGCTAGCGTTGCTCCTTAACGTCCTTCATCTCCGCTTTCAAGCTTCAATAAAGGTGAGCCAAACAAAAAAAACTACAACAAAACAATAAAAGGTTAGAAAACAAAGAAAAAGGCTAAAGAAATAAACAAAAAGAAGAAAAAAATAAATAAAAATCTATCTACAAAGTTTGGATTAAGGGGATTTGGATTTTCGGGAATTTTGGATTTTTTTCTTGGGAGCATCTCCACCTACAAAAACTCAAGAATCATCAAAGAAAATTATCAGAAATCAGCAAAAATAATCATAAAACATCATCATCATCACCATCACATCACCATCACCATCACAACATCACCATCTCATCACAACACCATCACAACATCACCATCACAACATCACCATCACAACGCCATCAACAATAACAAGGCCACTATCCTCACTATCCTCCTTATGTGCAAGCTACTACCCTACCACTCTACCCTCCTATGTACACTTCAACCAACCAAAAGGACATCCTCCCCCACACTATTCTTTTTCTTGTCCCGAGAAAAAGTTACAAGTTAGAAGACCGAGGGGAGGGAAGGGAACCCTCATCACGGGGTATCATCTCCTTGCCCCTAGGTCGAGGGGAGTTAACAGGATCAAACCCGGGAGTATCCATGAAAGGGTGGAAGGGTTGGTTCAAGTGCTCATAGAGCCACCCTTGGTCACCCCAACCGCCATCAAAAGGAGTAGGGGTAGATGTGGATGTCGGGTCATAAGCCGGATCACACCCACCCGGACGATAGGGGTCGTATGGTGGGGTGCCAACGCGTTGGGTATGGTCAATGGGACCTTCCCAATAGGCGTAGCAAGGGGGGTGGGTTTTTGAGGGTCATAAGGTCCCCAATGATTGACCGGACTGTAATACCCCGTATTTTTATACGTATTTTATTTAATGTATATACATTTTATACGTATTTTATGTAATATATATATTTTATAAGGGTATTTAAATAACTATAGCATTTTAATTATGATGTTTTAATTATTTATCCCATGTAAATTTGGAATATTTTACAAAAGGAAAAGTCGTTTAATTAATTAATTAATAGAAGTTGGGGTTTTGTTTTAGGAAATTATGATTTTTTTTAACAAGTTTTAGCAGGGAAGGGATTAGGAAAAACTAAAGGAGGAAAGTTAGGGTAAAAGGGGTGATAGAGAAGGGGTATAAATTTCCCTCTTATGAAGCAAATCAACTTTGCTCGGAGTGGAGAAAACCCAAGGTAAACTTTTCTCTCTCTCCTCCTTATTTTTCTTTCTTTTTCTTTTCCTCTTCCCCTTATTTTTTTCGGCTGCCACTTTTTCCCCACCGCTGCTAGCCACCGGCAGCTGGTGGCCACCGCTGCTAGCAGCGCAAGCCGCCGGAAGCTCGTGGCCGCCGCTGCTAGCAGCGCAAGCCGCCGGTAGCTGGTGGCCGCCGCTGCTAGCAGTGCAAGCCGCTGGCAGCAGGTGGCCACCGCCGCTGCTAGCAGCCGGTGGCTGTCGTTTTCCTTCCCCCCCTATTACCCCTTTTTCGAGTATAAAAAAAAAACTTAGCTTTCTTATTTTAATTTAATCTATGCTTAGATATAATTGTAATTTATGAGTTTCGGGATTTAATTTTGATGTTTGGTTATTGTAATTGTGTGAATTAATTTTCAGATTTGGTTTTTAAGTAAAAAGCCCCAATTTTTGAAATCCTAGGTTCTTGTTTCATGATTTATTGAAAGATTATGATGTATTAGAGGGTACGCCTTTGTTTTAAGTGTTTTAAAACCAAATTACAACAAGTTGTAAGTATAATAAAGTGCCGGAATTTTTGTAGAACACTTGATATTAGGTTTCTTGAAGAAATTTTAATTACGCATTAATTGTGACTTAATTTATGGTGTTTTAAATATAATTTCAGCTTATTCTAATTAATTTATGAAGGGTTTTAAAATAGTATATATTGCTGGAAATTTGTTTAGAGTGGATATTAATACTCTATTATGGATTTAATGTGTAGGAGACTTTGAAGTAAGCGATTTCTACTAGTCGTGGCAGTTTTAATAATGTACTCAAGGTACGTACGCGTACTTAGCATAATTTGGTGATGTAGAATCATGCTAGGTTTGTTTGTAATTGATTATAAGTAGAATCATGCTAGGTTTATGTATGGAATTGTGAGTTTATGGTGTTTGTGATTGAATGGTGAAGCATGAATTATTTGTGATGGTTTATGGATTGGAAAATTGTATTTTTGGTATGTTGTGTTTGAACTACATTTTTATTTATGGCATGTTAGAAGGCATGATTAATTAAACTACATGTTTAATTATGTTTGAAATTTTAAAAAGGAATTTTATTATGGTTCAAATAATTTTTATTGATGTTTTAAGCATGAGGAAGGAGCTATATAAGTGTCTAGGTACACAAGGAATAAATTGTATGTTGGTGCCTTTATGCACTTAAGGTGCTTTTAACACCGAGGGATAGGATTTTTGGCGCATTATGCGTTTAAGGTGTCTTTGACACTGAGGTAGAATTAAAAAGGGTTCAACATTTAATAATATGTGGTCACTAATTATTCAAGAATTAAATTGGTATGTTTGTTTGATTGAATAATTATTGTTGATTGATTTATTATGCTTTGAGAGTCATCACCAAGTCTAATAATATGTAAATAACGTAAAGTGAAAGAGATTACGCACCAAAACTCTTGGAACGTATATACCTTGAGTACGTATGAACAATGGGGGGGTTATGGGGTTTTATATTTAACCATAACTTCCAATGGAGTACAGGACGCTGTATATTCCTTTTTATTTGCGCAGGAATTCCTCCACCATTGTGTGGTTTGTCGCTGGCACGGTTAGCTCCCGTGCCAGTTAACCTCAAATTTATTTGGGGGAGGTTAATAGGTGGAACCCGTTCGATGTGTAATCAATGCAAAATGAATTAATTAGGGTCTAGTCATTGTATTGTGTTGATTGGTATTTGTGAACTGGTGCAATGAGGTAAGTGTGTGTTGATAGGTAAAAGCATGTTAGTGTGGCTATTTTACGCTTATGTACACAGCTTTGCTGATTGTGTGTGTTTGTGTTTTTGGCCATGTCTTTACCTTGGCCCTATGATGACCCATTTTTAATGGAGAGTAGTGGAAGCAGGTAGAGATAAACTTTTCAGGTATTGAAGCATGATCATGATGGGGCATGAGTGAAGAGTGAATCCTATTAGTTTTCATTATATTACAATGTGTTTTATGCTTTATTTATTTATGATATATTATGTGTGGACTAACATAAAGGTTTGATTTGGGAGCGGTTTTTGAATAAGGGCCTTTAATGGTTCCAAGTTGTAAGTGAATTTATTTTGACTTGTTCGTTTGGTTTTAAACTTTATTTTCGTTTGGTTGACTTTGGGTTGACTTGTTTAATCGGTTTTAAATTTTGAGTCTTCCGTTGTGTATCTTTGATAATTGCCTTAGCCGTTTTCACGGTGGCGGTAATGTCTTAGTTATTCCTAAATCGTATTTTTAAAAGAGTAGAATGAGTATTTAAAGAAAGGAATTTCTAGGGTGTTACAAAGTGGTATCTGGGAGCTTAGGTTGAGATTTTAAATTACCACTAACCCAAAAACATTTTTCTTACTTGATTTAAACTTGGCCAAGTGTTAATTTAATTAGTTAACGATGATTGTTCTAATTTTATTATTTTTTTATATATATACATATATATATTTATTTTCTTTTTATATATATAAGGGCCAATTTTATTTATTTATTTATTCGTTTATTTATTATTCATGGTCCGAATTTTTTCTATGAAACACACGATTTTTTTTTTGTATCAAAATTTTTTTTATTTTTTTTTACGGCCGAAATTTTGATTATTTTTTTTTTGGGGTAAATATGTATACTTTATATTTTTATTATGTATTGCAAGAAGCAAGGATTAAGGTAAGTATTATGTGTTAAAAGCTTTTATTAACATATTGGTGAGCTTGGGTAGGAGAAAGAAAGGGCATATAGGCTAAGATTTAAATTTCTCCCTATGTGCATAATTTTATTTTGAGTATCAAGCATGTGATTTGACTAGATGTTTGTTGATGAAGGCATGCAAAATATGTATTATTCTATGTGAACCCTAAAGGTTGTATGATTGAACACTGAACTTTGTATTATTTATTTTATTTTATTTTATTTCTTTAAGGAAGGGAAATCTTTTCTAAGCCTTTTTCTCTACAGGTTGCCAATCTTTCCTAGCAAATTTACCCAAATGGGATCTCTTGTAAAGAAAAATAATGAACACCCCTATGACTTTGTAGAAAAGATCAGATACTTTTGTTCCTACATGAGCAATGTCCTTTGGGAGAAAGTTATGACACCCCTGATCGTATTTCGGCAATGATTGTCCATTGTCTTCCAGAGGAGCCCCCTTACTTTGCTGTCAAACAAAGATTTTCTGATTTTTATCTTCCAAGAGACGTCCCAAATTAACATAAATACATAGACTTTTATGGCCAGTGGTATCCAGACTATATTTTCTTAACTAAATATCTCGTAAGGGTGGAGAAAGCTTATTGTCAGTGCTTAAACATTCCCTACCCTGACTACTACTATGATAACCCAGTAGGGAACAATCCTCCTCCTAATCAACAACTAGAAAATTCTGCTTCTTCTTCTTCTTCTTCGTCAGGAGGTAATCAAGCAGAGAATGGAGAACAATAAGAGGGTAATAGTTCACTTATGGACATTTCTAATCCAAATCCACCTCCAACTCTAATAATTATAGATATTTCATCGGATGAGGAGGAAGAAGGGGAGTTTGTACAAGTAGAACCTGAACCTGAGTCACCTGAACAAATGGAAGAGTCAAATGATTCTAATTTCGATCCTTCAAGCTACAAGCAATCCACCGACAAAAGGGACAATGTTCGAAAGGATTAGATATTATGACTTTCCTGGCCACGAATTCATATTCTTTATTTTAAAATTTATTTGTTATTTCAGTTTTAGCTAATAAGTGGCATGACCACATCAGTTCTTGGAACAAACTTTTTATTTTAATATCTTCAGTCTATTTTAATTAATAAAACCTTATTTATTTGTTTGATAAATTTTTATTAATAAATTCTTTTGTTTTACAAATCTTCCATTTCACACCATTATTCCAGTAATCACCATTCCAAGCAACTTATCTCCAACAAACAATTATAAGCTGCGAACGTCTATGGGAATTATTTTTATATTTTTTTGTGATGCTTTATTAAATGCATGGTTGGTTAGCAATCAATATTAATTGATAAAGCTACATTAAAGGAATTTTTAGCAACTGCTATCCCAAATTGTTAGCTTCAAATTCTACTGTAAATGTTTAAAGGTCGTTAGGTAATAGACGAGTGTACGTCTTGAGAGCTAAACCTAGCCATTTCTAATAGTTATCCTTGTCATATATTCAGGAGAAACAAAATGGCAGGGGGAAGAAGTTCAGGTAGTGGTGGAAACGATTTGAATGAAGTAGTGAGGTAATTGGCAGCAGTTGCCCAACAATTGGCAAGGAATTCAACTGGTAATGGGGATGCTCAAGGGGAGCTCTTTAAAAAGGTGGCGCAAAGCAAGCCACCAACCTATCAGGGCGAGCCTGACCCTGTTGTGTTGGAAAACTGGTTAAGAGAATTTGAGAAACTGTTTGGAGTTGTGGGATGCCCTGAAAACTCAAAAGTGAGTTGTGCTACCTACTACCTAAGGGGTGAAGCTAACCTTTGGTGGCAACAAAACGAGGCTACCATTAGAGCATTACTTGGGTTCAACTAGACCAAATTCCAAGAAAAAGTGAGAGACAAGTTTTATCCTAGCTTTTTGCAGAAGCAGAAGGCTGAGGAATTTTCAAACCTTAGGATGGACAAGATGCCAGTTACGGAATACTACACCAAGTTTATTGAGTTATCCCGTTTTGCTGAAGGATCTGTCTCTACAGAGAAAGCAAAAGCTAGGAAGTTTGAGAGTGGGTTAACTACTGATTTGCAGTTAAAGCTGTGCGGGCAGGTATTTGAGATCCTGGATGAAGTATATGGAAGGGTTGCACACCTTTATGCTCTGGAAGAAAAGAAGAAGAAAGAGTTAGTTGAAATAGAAGGAATAGAGAAGAGGAAGGAAGTGGGACAAGTTTCTGGAAACCAACAGGGAAACCAGAATGGTTTTAAGAAACAGAAGTATCACCATAACAATAACTTCCACAACAATAACAACTTCCATGGTAATAACCGTCAAGGGAACCGTAACAACAATGGAGGGGCTAGAAACAATAACCAGGGAAACAACAAGAATGGAAGAGTTTATTTTTGCAAAAGGTGTAAGAATAACCACCCTCGAAAGGATTGTGAGGGCAATGCGGTCACTTATCGTTTCTGTAATAAGCTCGTGCATAGAGAATATGAGTGTTTCTCCAAGAATAACAATGGGAACAGGCAAAACAGTAATAATTCATGGGGAAACCAGAGGAATTTCCAACAGAACAACAACAACTTTGCTGGAAACAAGGGAGTACAACAAAATGGGGCAAGGAACAGTAACACTACCAGTGGGAATAACCAACAGAAGAATTGAACTACAGGGAAACTGAATGTTCTGAGTAATCATGACGCGGATGCCACGAAAGATGTTATCACCGGTACTTTTTCTATTAACTCTATTCCTGTTAAAGTATTGTTTGATTCTGGTGCAACTTTTTCTTTTATTTTTATGGTTGTTGTTGCAAAACTTAAAGACTGTTTAAAGACAGTAGAGGTAGTAGATTTACCAATAACCATTCCGACAGGTGGGGTAGTAAATTGTACCAAAACTTTTAGAAATGTGCCTTTAGAAATAGAGGGAAAGATATTCCCGTCTGAACTCATTGAGTTCGGGCAGAGCGACTTTGACCTTATTTTGGGGATGGACTAGCTGAGTAAGTATAATGCTGAGATTAGTTGTAGATCACAGAAAGTGAAGATGGTCACAAGTGGAAATGAATCAGTGACTTACTGTATGAATGGTAAAACTAAGTGCCCAAGGGTAATATCAGTGCTGAAATTAGCAAAGTACATGAAGAAGGGACATCTAGTATATTTCTGCAGCGTTAGGGATATGAACCATAAACAAGTGGAAAATCCAGAAAATATAGAAGTGGTCAACGAATTTCTAGATGTGTTTCCGGAAGAGATCCCTGGAATGCCACATAAGAGGGCAATCGACTTTACCATAGATTTAGTTCCCGGAACAGCCCCAATATCCAAGGCACCATATCGAATGGCACCTGCAGAAATGAGTGAATTAAAGGAGCCGTTACAAGATCTGTTGGACAAAGGGTACATTAGACCAAGTGCTTCTCCTTGGGGAGCACCTGTTCTGTTTGAGAAAAAGAAACATGGAAGTATGAGGTTGTGCATTGACTACAGGGAACTAAATAAAGTAACCATAAAGAATAAGTATCCCTTTCCAAGAATAGATGATTTGTTTCACCAGCTGAAGGGTGCCACTGTGTTTTCAAAGATCGACTTGAGATCTGGGTATCACCAATTAAGGATTGCCGACGAAGACATTCCAAAAACTGCATTTAGGACAAGATATGGACATTACGAATTCACAGTTATGCCTTTTGGATTGACTAATGCCCCAACAATCTTTATGGATTTGATGAATTGAGTGTTTCATCACTTTATGGATAAGTTTGTAGTTGTGTTCATAGATGTCATACTGGTGTACTCGAAGAGTAAGGAAGAGCACGCAGAACACCTAAGGGCAATTCTGCAAACACTAAGAGAAAACCACCTCTACGCAAAATTCTCTAAGTGTGAATTTTGGTTGGAAAAGGTAGCCTTCTTGGGACATTACGTGTCCAAAGACGGAGTGGAGGTAGATCCAACCAAAATAGAAGCAGTTAAGGGTTGGCCGACACCCAAGACAGTATCTGACGTGAGAAGTTTCTTAGGTTTAGCAGGGTATTATAGACGTTTTGTTAAATATTTTTCCAAAATTGCTAAACCCATGACCACCTTGATGAAAAAGGACAAAAAGTTTGAGTGGGACGATAAATGTGAAGAAGCGTTCCAAATCTTGAAACAGAAACTAATCACAGCACCAGTACTTACACTCCCGGATGATAGTGGACTATATGATGTGTACAATGACGCATCAAAGAATGGCTTAGGATGCGTGCTTATGCAAAATGGGAAAGTGATTGCATACGCATCGAGACAGTTAAAGAAGCATGAAGTAAACTATCCCACCCATGATCTGGAATTAGCTGCAATCATTTTTGCGCTAAAAATTTGGCGCCATTATGGGGTAAAATGCAGAATTTACACGGATCACAAAAGCTTAAAATACATTTTCACCCAAGAGGACTTAAACTCCCGTCAGCGAAGATGGTTAGAGTATACGACAGATTATGATTTAGACATACAATACCACGAAGGGAAAGCGAATGTGGTTGCGGACGCTCTAAGTCGTAAGACTAGTCATGGAATCAACTCGTTGGTAGTGGCTAATGAACTATGTAGAGAAATGATGAAATTGAATCTGGAGGTCGTAGAATGGGGAGTACCAGCGGGTATTCTTGCAAGTCTAAGCATCCAACCAACTATCTTTGACAAGATCCGGGTCAACCAAGAGGGGGATGTAAAGTTGGATAGGATTCGCGAGAAAATTAAGCCGGGAAAGGCTACAAATTTCAAGATCCACGAAGATGGGAGTTTGAGGTAAAAAAAATAGATGGTGCGTACCACATAAATGTGTGGAGGTGAAGAGGAAGTTGATGGAAGAAGGCCACAATACACCTTACTCTGTACACCCGGGAGGAGACAAACTATATAAGGATTTGAAGAAGATGTTTTGGTGGCCAAGAATGAAAAATGAGGTTGTTAAGTTTGTGGCGAAGTGCTTAACATGTCAAAAGGTGAAGATAGAGCACATAAGGACTCAGGGAACGGTACAGTCACTAGAAATTCCAGGATGGAAGTGGGATTGCATTTCAATGGATTTCGTGACTTGCTTACCTAAGTCAAGGAGTGGAAATGATACCATTTGGGTAGTGGTGGACAGACTTACGAAATCAGCGGTGTTTATACCAATGAAAGAAACTTGGAAGATGGAGCAACTTGCGAAAGCTTACATCAAACATGTGGTGAGGTTACATGGAGTTCCAAAAGGTATTGTATCGGACAGGGATTCCAGATTTCTCTCAAAATTCTGGAAAAGTGTACAAGAAAATTTTGGTACAATACTTAAGATGAGTACAGCGTTTCACCCTGCCACAGATGGGCAAACTAAAAGAACTATTCAAACCTTGGAGGACATGTTGAGAGCTTATATAATAGACTTCCAGGGAGGTTGGGAAGACAGTTTGGATTTAATTGAATTTTCCTAATAATAGGTACCACGCAAGCATAGGAATGGCACCATTTGAGGCTTTATATGGGAGAAAATGTAGAAGTCCAATTTGTTGGAATGACATTAGTGAGACCATGATCCTAGGGCCTCAAATGATTGAAGACATAGTTAAACAAGTAAGGGAAATTCAAGCTAAAATTTAAGCAGCTCAAGATCGCCAAAAGAGCTATGCAGACTCGAAGCGAAGGGAAGAAGAGTTCGAAATTGGTGATAAGGTGTTGTTAAAGGTGTCACCAATGAAGGGGGTGATGAGATTTGGAAAGAAAGGAAAGCTCAGTCCAGAATACATTGGTCCATATGAAATACTACAAAGAATAGGCAAGGTAGCTTATAGGTTAGCATTACTTATGGAGCTTAGTAAAGTACATGATGTATTTCATGTGTCCCAACTAAGAAGGTACATCCCTGATAAATCCCATGGCTACAACCCGAAACCATTGAGTTAGATCAAAGCTTAACATACGAAGAGAGACATGTCAAGATTCTCGACACTAAAGTGCGTAGTACACGCAATAAGAACGTGAACATTGTAAAGGTACTTTGGTCTAACCAAGAATATGAGGATGCCACTTGGGAGGCAGAAGATGAAATGAAAAAGAAATACCCAGAACTGTTTCAGGTATGTCGAGTTACGGGGGCGTAACTCGTTTTCTTTAAGGGGGGTGGAATGCGATAGAATTTCGCGCTTTTTTCCTATGTTTTACATACTTCTGGTGCTTTTTGCACAAATTCTATCAAGTGTTTTAGGTATTAGTGCTTTCAAAGAGACACAAAGGAGTGATAAATGACAAAAAGTACAGCAATAATATACACAAAAAGGAAAAGTTTTGAGTTTCGTTTCCCCAAGTTTCGGGACAAAACATGTTTTAAGGGGGGTAGACTATAATACCCCGTATTTTTATACGTATTTTATTTAATGTATATACATTTTATACGTATTTTATGTAATATATATATTTTATAAGGGTATTTAAATAACTCTAGCATTTTAATTATGATGTTTTAATTATTTATCCCATGTAAATTTGGAATATTTTACAAAAGAAAAAGTCGTTTAATTAATTAATTAATAGAAGTTGGGGTTTTATTTTAGGAAATTATGATTTTTTTTAACAAGTTTTAGTAGGGAAGAGATTAGGAAAAACTAAAGGAGGAAAGTTAGGGTAAAAGAGGAGATAGAGAAGGGGTATATATATCCCTCTTATGAGGCAAATCAACTTTACCCAGAGTGGAGAAAACCCAAGGTAAACTTCTCTCTCTCTCCTCCTTATTTTTCTTTCTTTTTCTTTTCCCCTTCCCCTTATTTTTTTCGGCTGCCCCTTTTCCCCCACCGCTACCAGCCACCCGCAGCTGGTGGCCACCGCTACTAGCAGTGCAAGCAGCCGGCAGCAGGTGGCCACCGCCGCTGCTAGCAGCCGGTGGCTGTCGTTTTCCTTCCCCCCCTTTTACCCCTTTTTCGAGTATAAAAAAAACTTATCTTTCTTATTTTAATTTAATCTATGCTTAGATCTAATTGTAATTTATGAGTTTTGGGATTTAATTTTGATGTTTGGTTATTGTAATTGTGTAAATTAATTTTCAGATTTGGTTTTTAATTAAAAAGCCCCAATTTTTGAAACCCTAGGTTCTTGTTTCATGATTTATTGAAAGATTATGATGTATTAGAGGGTAGGCCTTTGTTTTAAGTGTTTTAAAACCAAATTACAGCAAGTTATAAGTATAATAAAGTGCTGGAATTTTTGTAGAACACTTGATATTAGGTTTCTTGAAGAAATTTTAATTACCCATTAATTGGGACTTAATTTATGGTGTTTTAAATATAATTTCAGCTTATTCTAATTAATTTATGAAGGGTTTTAAAATAGTATATATTGCTGGAAATTTGTTTAGAGCGGATATTAATACTCTATTATGGGTTTAATGTGTAGGAGACTTTGAAGTAAGCAATTTCTACTAGTCGTGGCAGTTTTAATAACGTACTCAAGGTACGTACGCGTACTTAGCATAATTTGGTGATGTAAAATCATGCTAGGTTTGTTTGTAATTGATTATAAGTAGAATCATGCTAAGGTTTATGTATGGAATTGTGAGTTTATGGTGTTTGTGATTGAATGGTTAAGCATGAATTATTTGTGATGGTTTATGGATTGGAAAATTGTATTTTTGGTATGTTGTGT